AGGTCTCTCAAGTTAGTCAGACAGAGGAAAAGATTCAAGTAAAAGAGAAGGTCTCTCAAGCTAGTCAGACAGAGGAAAAGATCCAAGTAAAAGAGAAGGTCTCTCGAACTAGTCAGACAGAGGAAGAAAATTTAGAGCAGAAAAAGCCATCAGGGGAAAAGTTACAACAGGAGACTGCTACTAACACCTTTCTATCACCAGAGGGCGTAAGTGTCCAACCAACAGCGCCACCTCCATATGCTGGGAGGCTCCCAACCCCCACAGTTGATAGTTGGGATCCTGAGACAGGATCTCAAATATTAACATGCCCTGTATTTGAGCAGGCAGGAGGGCAGCGAATTCACCATGCTTTAAATTTCAAAAAAGTGAAGCAGCTAAAAGAGGCTGTAACAACCTATGGTCCTCAAGCACCCTTCACTGTAAGCATGGTCAAATCCATTCCCAACTTGAACATGACGCCAGCAGATTGGGCTAATATGTGTAAAGCTGTGCTAAATGGAGGACAATACCTGTTATGGAAGGTTGCCAATGAGGAATTTTGCAAGGAGACGGCTAGGCGAAATGCAGCAGCTGGTTATCCTCAGAGAAATCTAGATATGTTGTTAGGAAAGGGACCTTATGAGGATCAGCAGCAACAAATTGCATATGATCCTGGTATATATGCACAAATAGCTGTAGATGCAATTAAGGCATGGAAGACTTTACAAGGACATGGAGGTTTACAAGGTCAATTATCTAAGGTAATACAAGGAGCTAATGAGCCTTACGCTGAATTTGTAGATAGGCTTATTCAAACAGCTACCAGAGTTTTGGGGAATACAGAACAAGCAATGCCATTAATAAAACAACTGGCTTATGAGCAAGCGAATCGTTGGTGCAGAGAAGTCATTAGACCATGGAGACATGAAGATTTAAACACATATATTAAATTATGTAGAGACATTAATGAACAAGGGCAAGTCGTGGCAGCTGCAGTACAACAGGTTTTAGATGCCAGAGACATTAATGAACAAGGGCAAATCATGGCAGCTGCAGTAAAACAGGCTTTAGATGCCAGGCCAAGAACATGCTACAATTGTGAACAAACAGGACATTTTAAAAGGAATTGCCCCATAGGAGGAGGGTTTAACAAAACTAGGTATCAAAGGAGTAGAATACCGGGTATTTGCCCACGATGCCGTAGAGGGAGATATTGGGCTAATGAATGCCGTTCTCAAACCACCATAGAGGGTACTCCATTATCAAAAAATGAACAAGGACCAGGTGTTTATCCACGATATCGTGGAGAAAGGCATCGGGCTCCATTGCCAAAAAATGGACAGGGGGGCCCAATGTTCCGGGGCCCCAAACCACAAATATACAGAGCACTGGAGGAACCCAGCAATCCCATCAGGGTAGTGCCCAGGACACATTGTCCATTAGATCCCTCATCAGACAAACCAGAGGGAGCGCAGGATAAGATATCATCTTGTAAAAGAAAAATTCAGCTGGGCACAGTGGCCCACACCTGTAATTACAGCAACTTGGGAGGCTGAGGCCAGAGGATTGTTCAAAGCCAGCTTCACCAATTTAGCAAGCTAGGGCTGGGGATGTGGCTCAAGCAGTAGCGCGCTCGCCTGACATGCGTGCGGCCCGGGTTTGATCCTCAGCACCACATACCAACAAAGATGTTGTGTCCGCCAAAAACTAAAAAAATAAATATTAAAAAATTAAAAAAAAAACAATTTAGCAAGCCCCTCAGCAATTTAGGAAGAACCTGTCTCAAAATTTATTTTTATTTTTTAAATATATATATATATTTTTTTAAAAAATATTTTTTACATGTATGGACCCTTATTTTATTCATTTATTTATATGTAGTGCTGAGAATGGAACACAGGGCCTCACACATGCTAGGCAAGTGCTCTACCACTGAATCACAGCCTCAGCCCCTTAATAAATTTTTTATAACTTTGTTTATTTACTTTTTATGTGGTGCTGAGGATCGAACCCAGTGCCTCACCTGTGCTAGGGAAGCACTCTACCACTGAGCTATAGCCCTAGCCCCCGTCTCAAAATTAAAAAAAAAAAAAAAATAAAAATAAATAAAAAAGGCTGAGCATATAGCTCAGTGGTACAGGTGCCCTGGGTTCAACACCAGTACCAATAATAATTATATTAATAAGAATTATAACAATAACAACAGAACAGGCAAAGAAACCTTTGTGCTTCAAGGAAGGAAAGTATTATAAGGTTGAGAAGCTTATTTTGAGAATAAACTGCTAGTACCCTGGACTTACAT